ATTTAGCTAATACGTTTCTCTAATATTTTGAATGAATAACGCAGTAGCGGCGCGCAAAAACATCACTTACATCATCATCACCGCATCTCGTGCTCCAATGATGACGCTCCCTGATGCACACCTGACATTTGATTGTACTATTTTTGTATTCAAATGCAAATGTTTATTTTAAATTCGACTATATATTAATTTTTTATTCACAATCTCCTCATCACAGGCAGTCACAGCACTCATTTCAGCATGTGTTCATGTTTGTGTGTGCTGTCTGCGTCACTCAGAGCACGTGCCTATATTGTGCACTATATTGAACATTTTTTATATCGTTATCAAAGAAGGTGTACTGTCGATAAATATCGATACCGTTTTATCGACCAGGCCTAGTAAAAAAAAAAACAGTAGTCTGTGTCATACTATTCATACAATTCACTGGGTTTTGTACCATTTTGAAGGCTGCTGGAGAGTAGGCGGTTCAGCTTTGGCGATCTTGAGCAGAACTCTCATTGGGTTCATCTCATGGTTGGGCGGTTCGATCTGGGCCAGCTCGATCAGAGTGATTCCTAGAGACCAAATATCAGCCTTATAGTCATACGGCCTGTCCTTAGACGTCTCACACATCACGACCTCTGGAGCCATCCTGAATAAAAGAGAGTGATATCAATGTGTCAACAACGTCAATGTGTGTAAGTACAAGTAGCTTCATTTTATGAAACTCTAACTTGCCAGTAAGGGGTTCCAATGAAGGTGTCTCTTCGCTGGATAGTCTTTGTGTTCTTGGCAGACACTCCAAAGTCCGCTGAAAAACAGAAAATGTTCTTTTTGGGAACATTCTGCCTGAAAAGAGTGCTTGTGCCACCTTTACATAAAATAAACAGTGCTTGTCTTGATATTTTATTGTCTAATGTAATGACATTCAGGATTTTCACAACCCAGCATCACAGAATAATTTACATCTGGTCACTGACATAAAGTTTATTTTAGCTGCGGTTTAGTCTGTCATGTAAATGACCCTCCTCAGTTCCTCTCTGTAGTCTCTCTCACCCAGTTTGACGTCTCCGTCGAGGGTGAGCAGGATGTTTCCAGCCTTCAGGTCTCTGTGGATCACCTTGTTGTCATGCAGATACTGCAGAGCATCCAGAGACTGCTTACAAACCACCCTGATCTGCGGCTCCGTCAGAGGCCTTTCCAGCTCTACACACACACACACACACACATATGAAGAAGGAAACGCTTACACACACAAATACACTTACACAAAGATTTAAGATAATTTCCATATACTATTACTACAATATTTTCTGTTTCCTAACATTGAGTATTGCAATGAATCATTGAGTTCTTGCAATGAATCATCCCAAAATTCAGGAGTTACCAGTTTGAATCAGTTTGATGAGTACTTGACTCACAGAATCAGCCCAAGCAGTTACTGAATCAACATTTGACTCACTAACTGTACTGAAAGCTAATTTCAGTAAAAATGAAGCAAATTCATTTTGGTAGACAGGTCTACCTTTAATTTGGAAACTTGTTTTAAGGACCATTATTTTTTCTGTTTTATTTTTTAAATGGTGTTTCAATAAAAAGTAGATATTGTGATATACAAGCATCACCAACAAACATTTTACGAATCCCATGATGGAAATTTCAGCTTTCACTGCAATTCAAAAGTTTCGGGTCAGTTAGATTTAATTTCGTTTAAAAGTCTCTTTTGTGCATTTATTTGATCAAAAATATAGTAATATTGAGAAATATTATTACCATTTAAAATAGTTTTCTATTTTAATATATTTTAATAATAATTAATCAAATTTATTCCTGTGATGCAAAGCTGATTTTCAGCATCATTACTACAGTATTCAGTGTCACATGATCCTTCAGAAATCATTCTAATATGCGGGTTTGCTGCTCAAGAAACATTTATTATTATCAATATTTCACAATATTGTATTATCAAAAGTTGTACTTGTTTATATCTTTGTAAAAATAGTGACTTTTTTTAAGAATTCTTTGGTGAGTAGAAAGTAAAAAAACAGCATTTATTTGCAATAGAAATCTTTTGTAACATTATAAAAGTCTTTACTGTCACTTTTGATTAATTTTATGCATCCTTGATAAATAAAAGTATTCATTTCCTGACCCTCATTCTACAAAACAAAACAAATCTATACTGAACTGATTGCTTTAACAGGTCAAGCAACCAGTGTGAATAATCGCAAAATGCGCAGTTAAAGTTCAACTTCGCCTTTAAGAATTAAATGTGCTTTTGACTAATGACAAGGAACTGGTCGTTGTAAGTGACCTTTTCCTGATGCAGTCTTGCACGTTAAATGCTTTGTATGAACTCACCGAGCATGACAGCATCGATGGCTCCGCCGGCGCAGAACTCTATCAGGATCTGCAGACAGAAACATTGAGAACATAAAACTGGGTCTTTCCTAAAACACAATCACACTGTTTTACAAAAGCATGGCTGCTTACATTACATTGCACAAAACAGATTGACTGAGACTAGCATACTGTCTTTATTTACCAACTTTCACCTGGGCACAACAGCAGCATTGTGTTTAGTAGACAAATCTGTTTATCCTATTGTCATGAACGCACCTACAGTACATGCAGCCAGTCAGTGGTTTAAAACACAGACAAGCTGCACTCATTCAGAGAACCACTGTTCATTCAACTCATTTATTCTTGTGCACAAAAAACAACATCTAGAACTCTCACTCAGCTTAACTTATTTTTTTAAGAATTCTTTGGTGAGTACAAAGTAAAAAAGCATTTATTTGCAATAGAAATCTTTTGTAACATTATAAAAGTCTTTACTGTCACTTTTGATTAATTTTATGCATCCTTGATAAATAAAAGTATTCATTTCCTGACCCTCATTCTACAAAACAAAACAAATCTATACTGAACTGATTGCTTTAACAGGTCAAGCAACCAGTGTGAATAATCGCAAAATGCGCAGTTAAAGTTCAACTTCGCCTTTAAGAATTAAATGTGCTTTTGACTAATGACAAGGAACTGGTCGTTGTAAGTGACCTTTTCCTGATGCAGTCTTGCACGTTAAATGCTTTGTATGAACTCACCGAGCATGACAGCATCGATGGCTCCGCCGGCGCAGAACTCTATCAGGATCTGCAGACAGAAACATTGAGAACATAAAACTGGGTCTTTCCTAAAACACAATCACACTGTTTTACAAAAGCATGGCTGCTTACATTACATTGCACAAAACAGATTGACTGAGACTAGCATACTGTCTTTATTTACCAACTTTCACCTGGGCACAACAGCAGCATTGTGTTTAGTAGACAAATCTGTTTATCCTATTGTCATGAACGCACCTACAGTACATGCAGCCAGTCAGTGGTTTAAAACACAGACAAGCTGCACTCATTCAGAGAACCACTGTTCATTCAACTCATTTATTCTTGTGCACAAAAAACAACATCTAGAACTCTCACTCAGCTTAACTTATGAACACATCAGAGTTTGTGGCAAATCAATGGATAAAACCAGAACTCCAGTTTAACAACATCCAAACCTGGAAAGACTAGGCCACATTATTACAAAACAATTCACTTCGCAGGGCTGTGATTGGTCAACAGCGCGACATTGCAGGGTCATGATTGGTCACTGAGGCTGCTGAGTCTTGAAGGCTTTTCTTTTGCACTTCAATATGGTGAATGACATAACAGGATAGAGCGAGAGAGGCCTGTATGAGCACGAGGAAGGACGAAAGCTTTCTGCACATTAGCGCAGGCCAGAATTGAGTAATTTCTGTCCTAATAGGATTAGAACAGGAGAGTTTCCGTGAACAGCAGGCGGATGGAGGGGTCACGGCTGGGGTCATCTGGAGAGGATGGGCAGGTACTGGTAAAGACTAGTCTCAGCCTCAGACGTCACGCCCACGGACCGTTGGCTAAACGTCTGATGCATATGGGACACAAAAGTGGAAACAGTTCAGGAGTTTCGAAGGCGTTATCGGATTGGTT